GAAAATCACGTTTCTGAGACTAAAGTACGATTGGTAAAAAAATAATTGCCCATCTGTCCCTTTAAAATTTATCATCAAAGTAACTTTCAAACACGGATAATTATGGATACACATGGGTATTACTGATACACGGATTATTCAAATCAAAATCCATATCTGGAGACATGCATACATGTAGCACACCGACTATTCTTAGAGGGTATCCAACTTGAAGTTGATATTATCGTTAGAAACAATAGCATTGTACACCTATTTTAAGAAAGTGTGTTCCATTGTGTTAGGTGTATTTCAGTCAACGAAGCCATTTTGTCACAGAATGGTCTCTTTTAGAAAAATCATCATACCATGTCGCTGTACAGAATTCCATTTAGACGTTTAGTGCTATTCTAGCTCAGTGTGTTAATTGCAGCAATTGGTCTTGTTTAGTGCCAATCGAGTTCTGCTAATAATTGCAGGGACTTTGGAATCTTTGATGTGGATGGTCCTTGTGCCTGTTGGTATCGTTTAGTACCAACCTAGTTCTGCTAATAATTGCAGGGATTTCCTTTAGAATCTTTCATGTGAATGGTCTTTGTGCTTATTGGTATCGTTTAGTGCCAATCGAGTTCTGAGAATTGCAGGAACCTTTCTGGACCCTTGCAGGAACCGATTTTGGAATCTTTGATACGAGCGGTCAACGTGCCAATCGATCTGTTAAAAATTGTAGGAACTATTTTGGAGTATTTTATTTATGTCTTTGTGCCTATTGGTCTTGTTTAGTGCCAATCGAGTTCTGTGAGTAATTGCAGGAACTTGTCTTGAATATCTGATATGGTTTCTATTAATATTTCTCTTGTTAAGTGTCTGTGAGTGCTTGCAGGAAGTATCTTGGAGTATTTTATTTCCATGTTATCGTTTAGTGCCAATCTAGTGCTGGTAATTATTTGCAGGAACCGATTAAGAATATTTGATATGTATCTTCAATGTAAATATTGATATTGTTTAGTGCCAACGTCAGTCTGATAATTGCAGGAACCGCTTTGGTGCCAATCTAGTTTTGAGAATTGCAGGAACCTCTTTGGAATCTTTGATGTGTATCGTCTTTGTGAATATTGGTCGTGTTTAGTGCCAATCTAGTTTTGGGAATTACAGGAACTTTGGAATCTTTGATGTGAATGTTCATTGTGAATATTGGTCTTGTTTAGTGCCAATTTAGTTTTGGGAATTACAGGAATTTTGGAATCTTTGATGTGAATGTTCATTGTGAATATTGGTCTTGTTTAGTGCCAATTTAGTTTTGGGAATTACAGAAACTTTGGAAATCTTTGATGTGAATGTTCATTGTGAATATTGGTCTTGTTTAGTGCCAACGTTAGTCTTGGAATTGTAGGAACTTCTGTGGAATCTTTGGTGCGAATGATCTTTGTACCTATTGATTTTGTTTAGTGCCAACTTCAGTCAAAGAATTGCAGGAACTATGGAATCTCTTGTGTTGTAAAAAAGCTTGAATTTCTCATTTTGATCTGCGCGCTCGCCCGTGAAATTTACATTTGACTCTAATATTAATGAATGGTTTCGATTTAACACGTGAAAATTCTGCGTTCATCAACCAAGTAACGCAAAAATCAACATTCAAACATTAATTATTGGAAATCTGCACTAGACCTCACCGAACAGAGGTAAAGAATCGACAATGTATCCAGTCGAAAAGAGAAACCCAATTTATGAAGAGGGGCATTCTTGGTCGATGCGACCCTACGTCATACATTTAACAGAAGAGGGTTTGACCATGGAACAAACTCGACAGGTTCCTTCCCAACAGATCCGCTTCAAGTATCGAGAAAATCCATTTGGAGGGTTGAAAGAGTGTGTCATCAAATCGCCAGATCCGAACAAACATTCACAGCAAAGTGTTGCCACGGAGAGGAGAGTTAAAGAACCGACGGCGAAAACTGGTTCACAGAAGTTAGTAACAAATCGACGAGCTCAAACGAACAAAGCGACGAACGTTTTAAATGAAAATCAACTCAACAATCCTACATCTAGGCAAAGCCAAGGGACAAAACTCGCCATGCCTATTAATAATGTAAACATCACCAATGAAGTAAAGATGTTGAATACCCAAAATCAACCCAAACCACCAAAGTTACCGCCGAGAAACAAAAAACCGGAAGTGGGTATTGAGACCATTAATACTGGCGCTGAAACTACGAACGAGCAGACGGCAAACAAAATGGCGTCCGACAAGATGGCGGCAGCGTGTCAAGCCAGACGAAAATCTAGAAAACGATTGAAAAGGAAAACGTCCATGGTCCAAGGGGAACGAAGGATTAGCTTCATGGAAAAGTAAGTGAATATTTTTGCATTAAAGATGGGTTTCCTTATTTTTTTAGTGTCAAATTAAGCAAGCTATTAGATTAATTGGTGTTTCTAATGAATTATCATGTATTCTTAATCATATCATTATGTTCTTATTGCATATAATTAAGAGTTTTAACCAATCATAAATGTCCATGTATGTACAGTCTGGATAAACAAAAAAATAAGACTTTTTGACCTTTCTTGATCGGTCACTCATTGGAATTCTGCTGGAAATTCTCTTCTAATTTAGCTAATTATGAATTAATTATGGACATGTGAGACAAACTGTATGCATATCGCGACCATTTATGGTGTTTATTTTGATCATCCCAATGTCTATGATTCCTGTAATTAATCGTACCTTAGTCTCAGAAACAGGAATTTTTTAGCTAAGCTAATCAGTAATAGTGTTCACAGCTCACTGTCGAAATTTGAGCCTTCATATCCATGTGTGTCCAGAATTGTCTACGTTTGAATGTTAAGATAACGACTCGTCAATTTAAGATACTCTGTGATATATAGAAGATACGTATATAGAAATAATGAGTAAAATTCCTAGTTTGAAATATTTTTGAAGGAATTATGTGATTTTTGTACAGCTCTAGTATTTCTGAAGACTATTTACATATATTCAAGACTCAAATCAACCAAGCCAAGGACCATGTATAGTGTATTGTTGTATTTCTAAAGGAATTATGAGATTTTCGTACATTTCTAGTATTTCTGAAGACTATTTACATATATTCAAGACTCAAATCAACCAAGTCAAGGACCATGTATAGTGTATTGTTGTATTTTTGAAGGAATTATGTGATTTTCATACATTTCTAGTATTTCTGAAGACTATTTACATATATTCAAGACTCAAATCAACCAAGCCAAGGACCATGTATAGTGTATCGTTGTATTTTTGAAGGAATTATGTGATTTTCGTACATTTCTAGTACTTCTGAAGACTATTTACATATATTCAAGACTCAAATCAACCAAGCCAAGGACCATGTATAGTGTATCGTTGTATTTTTGAAGGAATTATGTGATTTTGGTACATTTCTAGTATTTCTGAAGACTATTTACATATATTCAAGACTCAAATCAACCAAGCCAAGGACCATGTATAGTGTATCGTTGTATTTTTAAAGGAATTATGTGATTTTGGTACATTTCTAGTATTTCTGAAGACTATTTACATATATTCAACACTCAAATCAACTCCCTGAAAATGGCGATACTGTTCCTTAAGTCGCGTAATGTATTTCAATACAAGAATAAAGAAACTGGTATTATAATGGGTAATATAACAATAGAACACGTGAAACAATTCATCGAGCATTATTACAGATATAATAGAATTAATAGGTATTAATATTTATAAGATATTAAGACCCGTTTACACTAGTTGGACTTGGACCCGCGGATTTACTGACGCGGGTTGACTCCGGAGTTCAAAACTCCTGGATCAACTCTGTTCGTGATTACACGAAGACAGTCTGCTAGGTCGCAATTTCAGTGAAGCCTGGCAACCAAGGACGTGGTTGTAGCCATCTATCGGCATAAACTGCTGAATACGGGTCGAATTGGAGTTCGACCGTAGTGAAGACTGGAGTCGGCAACTCCAGTGCGGCCCCGGAGTCGACTCTCGGAGTTTTCGACGTGTGAACAACTGCCCCCCGGGCCGACTCTTGGTGAACCCGGGGATTTTACTCTCGTGTAAATGGCCCTTATGATTTGCTTTCATTCGCTAGACCGTTATCGTTTGATTTCTTTTGATTTTGCTCAGTTCTATTGTTTCAGTTCGTGTTGAATTTATTGTGCCGTGTTTTGTATCAAACGATTCACTTTAGTAATGTTAGTAGGACACGCTGTGGTATATTAAAGAGATTGTTAAGAGTTTTTCTAAATTTTTATGTGTATCAGGGACACTGATAGCATCAATTTACACCATTCCAATTTTCAATCAGACGTCTGTGGTTCTTGTTAAAGAGATTGTAAAGAGGTTTTCTAAATTTTTATGTGTATCAGGGACACTGATAGCATCAATTTACATCATTCCAATTTTCAATCAGACGTATGTGGTTCTTGCAATTTCACTAAAACTAAGTCACTAATCGCATAATATGCTTTATCACATAAGGTCCTTCACGATTAGTGACGTCATAAAACACTTAGATTAAGTGGAATTGCAGGAACCACAGACGTCCGATTAATTGATACTATCAGTTTCCCTGATACACATAATTTTTTTTAGAAAACCTGGTGCAGAAAAATAGAACGTAAAACTCAAAAATGAAAAAAAAATGTTTGATGACGTCACTTATCGCGAAATATGCTTTATCACATAAGGCCCTTTGTGATTAGTGACGTCATCAAACACTTAGTTTTAGTGGAATTGCAGGAATCATACTTTTAAAGGTGAAGTTATTGAGAAGTTGAAAATGCTTCGCAAGGGACCAATGACATAAAAAACGTGCATATTTAATTCTGTCGTAAAAGTCATTTCATAAAGACTCGAGCGATAAATAAATTGAACATTCGCCTGTGAGTGGATATTAAAATCTCGACGTTGAATAGATTTATCATGTATTGTATTGTTGTTGACAGGGGGTGATTGAAACACCAATAGCACTGACGGCGCCACTTGTCGCGGGGGGCAGGGGTCCGGGAGAGGGTCAGGGGGAGATATTCACCTGTGAATTGATATTAAAATTCAGACGTTGAATAGATTTATCATGTATTGTATTGTAATTGACAGAGGGTTAGTGGCATGTGAGGAAGACTTCGTAGGAAGTAGTTATTGTGGAGGTCAGGAGCAGTAGACATAGCTGGTTAGTCAGGCAGACGCAGAGATGGTGCGCCACTTTTTCGACCAATAGTACCCTAGTCTCAGAAACAGTAATAGTGTTCGAAATTTGAGCCTTCAAATCCATGTGTGTCTAGAATTATCTACGTTTGAAAGTTAAAATGACGACTAGTCTTTACTTGAGACTGCCATATATAGAAAAGACATCTATAGAAATAGTGAATAAATGTCCAAGTTTAGTAATAGTAACGACAATAGCGACAATTGAATAATCTCGGCCGTGTCCTACACGCTTATGGCGACCTTAACACGCTTGGGGCCAATCTACCACCACAGTAGCAGGCGCAGTAAGAACGCCTTTCCGGTTTGATGGGACCATTAACACAAGAAATAACTTAAACCATAACGTGACCATGAACAATTAAAAATTACCAATTAACCTCAATTAAAAGAAATCGGTGACCATTTTAAGATTATTTACATAACAAAAGTCATTTGGACATTTGCACCAAGGGCGTATCTAGAAATGCTCGATGATGGGGTCAAATATGAGAGGTACCTCTCCGAGGCGAATCCCGAAGGTCCAAAACCTCTTGAGACTAGAGGTCCGGGGACTACCAGAGCTCCCCCAGAAGGCCTAAGATGAGTTTTGAGCATAAGCAGGGCTTAATTTTCATTTCAAACTAGAATTATCACAGGCCCGAGGGGAGTCTGAAGTTCCTGCAATTCCACTAAAACTTATCGCACAAATATGGTTTACCACATGTATTGGGTGTTTATTTTAGGTTATTTTGAATGCACGTTGTTTTATTACTATTAATGATCTGTTTTCTAGGTCAATGACAAAAACAACATAAATTACTAATGAGTCGCTTTGGTTTAACTCAAACATAAACACGAGGACGTAAAACTCCATTCATTTCATTTCAGACATAAACACTGGTGTATTTACCTGGCGTATTTTACCAACCCGACAATATCAATAAATGAATACCAATATTATAGACTATTTTGTCATATATAGGTTATTCCCCTTTGATATGCGAAGTGTAATAGAAACACGGCAAGTTTGATGTTGACAGTATAGTATAGATAGTAGGGCGTTAAACTCCATTCGTATTTACCTGGCGTATTTTACCAACCCGACAATATCAATAAATGAATACCAATATTATAGACTATTTTGTCATATATAGGTTATTCCCCTTTGATAAGCGAAGTGTAATAGAAACACGGCAAGTTTGATGTTGACAGTATAGTATAGATAGTAGGGCGTTAAACTCCATTCGTATTTACCTGGCGTATTTTACCAACCCGACAATATCAATAAATGAATACCAATATTATAGACTATTTTGTCATATATAGGTTATTCCCCTTTGATAAGCGAAGTGTAATAGAAACACGGCAAGTTTGATGTTGACAGTATAGTATAGATAGTAGGGCGTTAAACTCCATTCGTATTTACCTGGCGTATTTTACCAACCCGACAATATCAATAAATGAATACCAATATTATAGACTATTTTGTCATATATAGGTTATTCCCCTTTGATAAGCGAAGTGTAATAGAAACACGGCAAGTTTGATGTTGACAGTATAGTATAGATAGTAGGGCGTAAAACTCCATTCGTATTTACCTGGCGTATTTTACCAACCCGACAATATCAATAAATGTATACCAATATTATAGTTATTCCCCTTTGATAAGCGAAGTGTAATAGAAACACGGCAAGTTTGATGTTGACAGTATAGTATAGATAGTAGGGCGTTAAACTCCATTCGTATCTACCTGGCGTATTTTACCAACCCGACAATATCAATAAATGTATACCAATATTATAGTTATTCCCCTTTGATAAGTGAAGTGTAATAGAAACACGGCAAGTTTGATGTTGACGGTCTAGTATAGATAGTAGGACGTAAAACTCCATTCGTTTCATTTGATATTGATAACTTTAGACTAAAACGAGCATAAAATAAATATAACATGAACAAAATAATATTCAATAGAAATCTTCTCTCAAGTTTTGGGCAATAACTTTACTAACCAATTTACAACTTTACTTAAATATGTCGCACATTTTAAACAAATTTACAACTTTACTTTGCTAACAAATTAAGAACTTTACTTACAAATTAACAACTTTACTAGCATATTTACAACTTTACTAACAAATTCACCACTTTACTAACAAAATTAGAACTTTACTAAACAGTGTTAAATTGAAAGCCTTTTGATTAGTAGACCTACGAAAAATCAAGAATCACAAACAATGTAAGGCAATCTACAACCCCCCACCCCCAAACCTCACTCCACCCTAACCCACAAAAAACATCGCCCCCGCCAGCCCCACGCACGTTTAAACAATGTATAGTACCACCAACGACGCAATATACTTGAAATGTGTCACACACTAGAAAAACAATGTTAGACTTTTCACTAAGTAAACACCATGATGATTTTCTAACAAATGGAAGCCTACTGAATAGATCTTTGAAGTGTAGTAAGTGGAACCATTGTCAGGAATATTTCTAGTCCGAAACATCTGGTTCTATTCCAGCCCCTGATTGCTATTTTGACAGTTGACGACCGTTGAAGATGGTCGTCGTTAGACCCTAACCCTAAGTGGCTATATTAAAATTAAAGCCAATAAAAACAGAACGAATTGTTATTTAAGGTGTAAGTCGTCGGCTGGAATAGGTCAGAAACATCTTCCTCTATTCCAGCCTCTGATTGATATTTTCGCTTTTGTCTGCTGTAGTGCAATCAGAAAAACTAGACCCTGTTTAATGGGGATCCAAATGGGTTCCGGGGGGGGGGGGATCAAAAGGTTAATTTGACGAATGTTCAAGAGGGTCGTCGTTAGACCCAAACTGAAGTGGCTATATTAAAATTAAAGCCAATAAAAACCGAACGAAAGTTAAGTCTAATGTTCATTAGACTGAGTCTCAGGTGGCATTGATGAAAGTTGTCGTCTGGAGTAGGGTCAGAAAACTGTTTAATGGGGATTTTTCGCACTTCCGAAAGGGGGGTTGGGTTATTAAAGATATTTATTGACCTCGGAGAAGGGTCATAAAAACATTGTTTTGTGGCATTGTTTTATGGGGGTGTTTCAGGGTTTGGTGGATTCGAGGTAAATAAGTACCAGTACCTTCAGGGGTGCGGAAAAATTCAACAAAACAGAGCCTAGTTTTTCTGACCCTTCTACAGCCGACCACTTTTACAATAGCCATTTTAGGAGAGGAAAGTATGTAAATGGTTGGATGACTTGAATGTCGACATAGTTGAGGTCCTCTAGACTCACCCCTCTCTGGGACCCCTGGGCTAGCTACAGGCGTGGTTTCGGACTAGACTGTTTGGTATTGTCGTTAATTACTCGTACTTATTTGACTACACGTATTATACATTATAACTATTCAATAGAACACACAAATATGATTATCTCCGTTATGATGGTCTACAACTCTTTTGTATTCAGATATTGTTTTGTCAAGCAAGCTGTATATGGGAGGGAGTGGGTGCATTGTCGTTTTATTGTAAAAATATGCCACATAGTGGTTTCTATGCAGTGTTATGTGAAGGAGCCACAGACAGGAGGGGAGGGGGGGGGGGGGGGGGGCCC